TGTCGGTTTTCGATCGGGAATATACAATGTTAGGGGGCGCTCACCGATCGTTCATACGGAACTCACTCGTTCCGTTGTGCCTTATGGACTCTATCTCGAGCCCAACCAGCAGCCGCACAGCGGCGCATGATATATAGGCAGAATGGCATTGCTGACAAAGAAAAGGGAGACTGGAATGGTCATTTCTGGCTTATTAGCCGTCGTCAGCCAGTCACACCCTACCCCGAAATGTGGCACACCCGAGGCTCGAACTCACGACCTGATTGTTAGAAGTCCACTCCTCTAACCACTGAGCCGCGAGCCCGTTGTCCTGTCGGTTTTCGATCGGGAATATACAATGGTATGGGACCTCGGGTGTGCCACACTTCGGGGTTGGGTATGACTGGCTGACGACGGCTAATACGCCTGAAACGGCTAGTCCCCCTTGTCTTTGTCGGTAATATCATATATAAATCTATATAATTGTAGAGGGGCCTTCACTATCGTTTCTGCGGAACTCACTCGTCCCGTTGCCCCGTCTTAAGTACACTTTCCTAATCGGGAACGTTCCTCAGAGTTGCGGTTAACATTTCATGAGACGGCACTCTAGGCAAGGTTGTATTCATGCTGGAGCACCTTTTGAAAATCTGCAGCCCTAAGCACGCTTCCCTGTCGTAGTATTTAGAAGCAAATCCAATTCTTTCTCTTTTTCCACCTTTAAACTGGATGAAATACTACGTTTTAGCATATAAGAAACTATTCCGCTTGTTTATTTGCGGGCCTTTTTCGTCTCCGCTGCCCACTTCTACTAAAGTAAAACATCGTGTCGAATGACTTAAGCAGTACGCCTCACCACCTCTCAGTGGAGAAAAACATTCCTCAACAACGCCAAACTTTGCACAAGTTGGGAGAAAAACAGAGAATCTGACGTCGGCGCCAGCACTCGTGAAGTTTGGGGAAGTCTGCCTCGATCGAAAAATGAAGATCGTGGAAGGTTTGCGAAAAAATTACTGACTGTATTTTGGCAGAAATCTATAAAAAAGTGGCCGCAGGGATCAAGAAAGGGGGGGGGGAGGGTAGGGGCGGCCGCTTAATATTTGAACGCGGCCTGTACTTGTTCGCAGTTATGGCTTCCGTCACAGAAGGGAGGAGAGCTGGTCTGCTTGCACCGGCACCACCAGACCTCGGTTTTCCTACAAGGCAAAAAACACAAATTATTACAAGATCGGTCGTCAAAGTGGACAACGCATGCGGAAACCAGCAAGGCATTAGCTTAAACGCTCAAGTATCTCTAAAAAGGCCAGGTTGCATGCCATATGCAACAAGACGCATTAAATACTGAGCAGAATTCCTCGGACGTATCCAGCTGACATCTAAGTGAGCATCTCCCCTATTTGTGTAAATAACGCCGCAAAATCTTCACTTAAGTAATGTGCACTTTCTTCGTGGATTTCTATTACTTATGAAAACCTTAATTCTTCTGCTATACTCGTTTTAAATCTGGTATCCACTATGTAACCAGGAGTCTTCACTACATTATCGTATCTACTTATTTGATTTATATAGGCACCTTAGTATTTCAGTTAGGTTAAAGACTCGGGATGGGGTTATTGTTAGAGTTAAATTGTCTGCCGCATACTTGTTTACCCGGTTTGGCCTCCCTTAATAAGTAATCGTGGATTACCCATTTTTCGTTCGTTTACACGCCCTATTTCGCAACTTACAAATTGTGCCGTCTGTTGCGACACCTCGTTGGAGTAATAAAACAAACACACGGCAGAACTGCGAGTTCTTTTAATGTCTTTCACAGATTCAATTAGTTGTCGGGCCTATCTGCCCTACTGAGAAAATTGATATTAACATCCCATATCATAGGTATCCTTGTGCTCTATTTCCTCAGTGGGATTACATGTTCAATCCTCACTTCAAATTTGTGCCAAAGAAGCGGGAGGACCTTTGCGACGTCGGCATGAAAATCTACTGCGACTATTAACGACGAGATCATGAGGGCTGACCACAAAGCGGGCAGCGTAATCTACATCTGTTGCAACATTCTATGAGTACAGGGAATTCCGCCTAGAGGCATATGTAGCGTTAGTCCAGTTGCTTTAGAGGAAACGTACAGAATGCAGCGAAAGCATAAGTTTCCTTCCAAGATGTGGTTGGGTATGTGAACACGGAACCTCCCCGTACTACAGGTGACCTTGCCTTTAATTCCATGGGAGTTGGGGTCAAAGTTAGGACATAGGAAAAGGCACTTCCCCGGAATTTACCGTGAGGCGATCTATATTACAGGGGGATCCATATCCCTGTGTCGGACTCAAAATCGTCCAAAGCAGAAATACCGCCTAGTGTTTAATACTTTAAGGAGACGTAATTTCTTGTAAAATGAAAGCAGTAAATGCCTAAAAG